GCCACCAGTCCAGAGGGTACCCACATCTGGGTGTCTGATGTGGGGTGCTGGTCACCCCACTTCTCCCTACAGCCACAGATCACCAGCACGAGCCTCCTGAGCCCCCCTGCTCCACGAGGCCTGTCCCTCCTGAGTGCCAGGAGGGTGGTGGCCACTGTCCCCACTCTCAGGCCAGGCCAGCAGCCGAGAGCCAAGTGACACGGCTCCCGCAGCCCTCTGCTCCCCTGCCACTGCAGCGCCCCGGGGGTGCTGGAGCTCGCACCCAGCGTGTCCCCCCGGCGCTGGGAGCCCGGGCCGAGCCTTCCCGGTGCGGCTGGAGCACCGCGGGTCCGGCAGGAGCAGCGGCGGCCGAGCTGGACCGCAGTGCGCCGGGGGCCGTCGCCGCAGCAACCGCCGTCGCCTAGCGCCGCTGTCTCCCGGTAACCCGTCGCCTAGCAATGGGGGATTTTTCACAGCTCGGGATGAAGAGTTGAAAGTTATTTTTAGCCCGGGTTGCGAATCAATAGGCAGCTCCATTCGCTGCCCCGCAGGATGCACGCGCGGGGGGAGCAGGGGGGTCTGTCCAGCCTGGGGTCACCGCGCTGCCACCCCGGGCTCAGCCCCTCTGTGCTGCCCCCTCAGAGCTCAGAGCTCTTCCCTGCCGGGCTTCTGATTCCCCCTCAGGTTCCCCCCATCCAGGCCACGTGCGGGTGAGGGTGGGTGAGGACATGGTGGCTTTCAGCTTCTGTGGGGACCCTCACAGAGAGATGGGGATGGTCACACTGCTGCAGGGACCATTGGACCCTCTCTCACTCTGGGGACCCTCATCTTATTGTGGGGACTCTCAACCAGCCATGAGAACTCTCCTCCAGCTTCTGGGAGCCTCATCCTTTCATGGGAAACTTCTTCTACTAGTGTGGACCCTCACCTTGCCATGGGACCCCCACCTTGCCATGGGACCCCTACCTTGCCATGGTGACCTCCCTCTTGCTGTGGTGACCCCAACTTGCCATGGGATCCCCTCCTTTCCGTGTGGACCCCTGCTTTGACATGTGAACCCCATCTTTGCTTCGGGGATCCCCACCTTGCCCTGCCCTGAGGACCCTCCCCCATGCATCCCCTCCTGATATCCCCTGAGCTTCCCAAGCCTTCCCAGGGCACACTCCCACTCTCAGGGACACCATCCTGGGAGTCTGGGTGAGAGGGGACACTGAGAGGGGACAAAGCCAGCTGGGTTCCGTGGTTCCATGCAGAGGAGCTCAGGTTGTCCCTGCACGTCCCCAGGGACGGGCTGGGAGCTGAGCTGAGGCTCCTGAGCTATTTTTTAAAGACAAGGTGGGTGTCTCCCACAGCCGCAGCTCCTTCGGGAGCTCCCCACGCAGCCTGGGGGGATGGGAAGCTGCATGGGGACAGGCTGGGGACCCCAGCTCCTGAGCAGCCCTCCAAGGTCCCAGCTGCCCCAAATGTCCCTTTGCCCTTCCAGGATGTTTTTTTTTGGGCACAGCCTAGCCTGGAGCATTCCTGCCCATGCCATCCCCACCCATGGCACAGCCTGGAGGGTGCCCAGAGCCACCCCACAAGGACATTTTGTGGGCAGCGTGGATGTCCCAGGGACCTGCCAGAAACTCCAGGAGTGCTGGGGGAGATGCTCAGGAAAGAAAAACTTTGGGGTGGTCCATCAGGAAGAGACAGGATCATCCAAATCCAAAGGAAGCTCCTGCAGGAGTGCCCCGTGCGTGGCAGATGGCTCTGGGACAGAGCAATCCTCATGAGTCACAGCGGATCCGAGGGGACGTGGAAATGCCCAGGGGGCTGCAAGAATCTGACTTGTGGGGAAAGGCTGGGAGAGCTGGGGCCATCCAGCCTGGAGGAGCCCTTCTGGCATCCTGGTGATACCTGAGGGATCTTGGAAGGGTGACAGAGAGAGGCTTTCTCCAGGAACTGTAGAGGCAGAAGAGGGGAAGCAGTTTTCAGCTGGGAGAGGGTGCATTTAGATGGGATAAAAGGAGGAATCGCTCTGTGAGGAGCTGGAGGAGCTGTGGGCTCCGCGGGGCTGGAGCAGCCCGGCCCGGTGTGAGGTGTCTCTGCCCAGGGCAGGGGTGGCACCGGGGGCTCTTCGGAGGTGCTGGGGACCAGCTGAGTTCTGCTCCCCTGCGGGACGCGTTTTTCCCCGGCCCCACCCGAGCCCCCCGGGTCCCCTGGCCCGGGGGTGGCGGCTCCCGGCCGCCGTGCCCGCGGTCACCAGAGGGCACTGCGAGCCCGAGCATCCCGGAGCGGCCCCGGGGGTCCGGGGCCCAGCGGACACGCAGCGGGGCCCGGCGGCGGCGGGGAGATCCCGGGGGCGGCCGGCACTCGGAGCCCCCCTCCTCCCCAGAGCCAGGGGGACAACACCCTGAGCCAGCCAGGGACAAGGAGGGGGTGGCCGGGGGACACGGGGGACACAGTCAGGGGACGGCCACCAGAGCGCCGGGCACGGCTGGCTCCTCCGTGGGTGCCCAGAGGTGCTCAGCGCCACGGGCTCTCCGGAGGTCTGAGGCCATTGCGGGGTGCTGCCGGAGCCGTGCCCGCTCCCGGCTACCGTGGCTGCTCCAAAGGGGCTCCGCGACCCCCCGATGGCCTTGCCCCGGCTGCGGGGATGCCCCGTACCGTGTGGAGCGAGGGAAGGCAGGGCTGGTGGCGCAGCTGGTGCCGGGGTTTCTCCAGTAACACCAGTTAAGGTGGGTCGGGGGCTGCGGAGGGTCCAGGGGTGCAGCCTCGCCCCGGGGCGCTGGCATTACGGCAGACGCTGCCATGTGCCTGCGGGACGGTGGCGCCGTGTCCCACCTCCCTGCATGCCAGGGTGTCCCAAGGGAACATCTCCGCAGGGTGCTGATCCCCACTGGGCCGGGGATCAGTCTCGGTGGGGAGAGGTCCTTGCGTGGGGACACCAGTGCCTGGTGCCACCCTGCCTCTGGTGCCACCTCGCCCCTGGCACCTGGCCAAAGCCATTGGTGGGGTCCCTGCCTGGCTTCCCTGCCCAGCTCTGAGCCCAGCCGGTTCCTCACTGTGTCACCGGCTCTGGGACCGTGTCCCCGCCATGCCGGGTCTCTGTGACCTTCGGGGGCACAGCCAGACCCTCGACCCAGCCACCCCCCGGCAAACCCCACACGGCAGCTGGTGGGCTCAGCACGAGGGCCAGCGGGCAGAGAGCCGCCCACCCGGCCCCCAGCCCAGCCCCCCGACACCCCGACATCCCGACCCGCTCCACCTTAACCCACTGCCCCTCCGGCCCCTCATTTTCCACGGATTCCAGCAGCATGACTTCTTTCAGCATCATTTCATGGCCGGAGGGCTGTGAATCCTCATCTCCCGGCCTGCCTCCCCCTCCTCTTCCCTCTTCCTCTCTTTCTTCCCACCATCCCAATTTACAATCCCTCATTTCCATTCCGCTCCACCCTCTGGCCGGGGACTTTGTTCCCGGCCTGTATCATCCCATCCCAATTGTTCCGTGTTTATTTCAAACATTTTGGCGGGCTGTCACTGGATGGAAACTTAATTAATGGTGGGGTCTGTAGTGGTGGCACAATAGCGGCTGGAAGGGAGGGGGTGGAAAGAAATGCCCAGGTTTGGAGGGGGAAAATCGGGGTTCGGATGTGCTTGACCCCCGTGTCAGGCACGGCACCACGTGCCTGGGCTCCCCTGGTCAGAAAATGTCTCGGTGGGGAGGGGGACGCTGCTGGTGGTGGGGGGAGGTTATAAGGAGGTTGGGGGGGCCGTAACTTTTGGGGTACACAGTTCTTGGGGATGTAAGCCAGGGGGTTGTAGTGTGGGGTGTGCATAGCCTGGGTTGCCTGTAGCCTGCGGTGTGTATGGGTTGGGTTGTGCAAGGGTTGGGGTGTGATAATTCGGGGTGTATAGAGCCTGGGGTGCAGAACTCAGGGTGCAGAGTGTTGTGTGTAACTCAGGGCTGGGGGGTGTGTGACTCTTTGGGTGCACAGTTCTGGGGTGGGGGTGTGTAAACCAGGGGGGCTGTAGTGTGGGGTGTGCACAGATTGGGGTGCACCCAGCCTGGAGTGCCCCACATGTGCGTGGCTTGGGGTGTCCATGACCGTGGGTGCACCTGGCCTGGGGTGTGGGCAGGTCTTGGGGTGCACAGTTCTGGGGGATGCACCCACCAGAGAGCTGCAGGCTGGGGTGTTCATAGCCCGGGCTATGGCTGTGCACAGCTGGGGTGTCGATAGCCAGGGCTGCCTGCAGCCTGGGGTGTGCAAATTTGGGGTGTACCTGGCCTGGGGTGTCTATAGCCAGGGGTGTGCACAGTTGGGGTGTGCACAGTTTGGGGTGTGCACAGTTTGGGGTGCACAGTTGGGGTGTGTACAGTTTGGGGTGTGCACAGTTGGGGTGTGCACAGTTTGGAGTGTGCACAGTTTGGGGTGCACAGTTGGGGTGTGCACAGTTTGGAGTGTGCACAGTTTGGGGTGTGCACAGTTTGGGGTGTGCACAGTTTGGGGTGCACAGTTGGGGTGTGTACAGTTTGGGGTGTGCACAGTTGGGGTGTGCACAGTTTGGAGTGTGCACAGTTTGGGGTGTGCACAGTTGGGGTGTGCACAGTTTGGAGTGTGCACAGTTTGGGGTGTGTACAGTTTGGGGTGTGCACAGCTGGGCTGTTCCCAGCCGCTGGGCCGTTCCCAGCCCGGGATGCTGTAGCCGCGGCTGTCACAGACATGGGCCTACAGAATTCAGGGTGCACCCCCGGGCGGCGGATCTGACCCCTGGGGTACCCCAGCCCTGCTCCGGGTCCCGTCCCCCTCCTCAGCCGTGTCCCGGCCCGGTGTCCCCCCGAGCCGCGGGGTGCGGAGAAGCCCCGGGGGCTCCGGGGATGCCGCTGCGGTGGACGCCGGTGCCCCCGGCGGTGGGGAGGGGGCCTCGGGGGCGGCTCCCGTGCCCGCCCCTCCGCCGCCATTGGCGGAAAGTTCGGGGCGCGACGCGGGGTGGCGGCCGCGCTCCCCCGTCCCCGCG